GCCCCTCCAGGCAAGTGGGTCTTGAAGGAGTATGGCCTAGGCAGGGGCAGATCCTTGCCTGGCTGCTTGTGCTGCTCCCAAGGGGCCCAAGCAATTCCCCATCCCATGACCAGGACTGGCCCCAGTTGTGCTGCCGGCTCAGCCTTGCAGAGTCACCTCCTAGCAGGACCAGTGATTGCAGCCAGGGGCAGGAGACAGGGAATCGGGGTGTTGGGCGAGGGGGCTGTGTGGCACGGCATCATCCCACCCCCGAGGGGAAGGGACACACTGGCAGCACAGGGTGAGGTGGGCCCAGCCCAGTGTGCTTCTGATGATTTCCAGATAGTAACTAGCAACCTTGTGCTATGTGGGGTGAGGATGCCACTGCCACGCCATGCCCCTTTGCCCCTGGTTGGCCCCTTGCTCTGGGGACTGAACTCCCCGCACTATGCTCCATTGGGGACCCACAGACATGTTTGGTGTAGGGCCCACAAAAGGTTACTCTATCCCCAGAATCACTATCAGACAGCTATTAAACTATCACCCTCAATTGTGTGTTCAACAAAGCCATGCTAGCAAGGCCCTTCTCCTCCTTGTCAGCCCCCACTCCCACCCTGCCCTTGCTCCCCCTGCCACCTCTGCCCTCCCTGCTCCCACCTTCACCCTCCCCTCTCCCCCGCCGCCTCTTCTGCCCCCCTTCCACCTTCACCCTCCCCTCTCGCCCTCCGCCTCCTCTGCCCCCTCCCATCTTCCCCCTCCCCTCTCGCCCTCCGCCTCCTCTGCCCCCTCCCATCTTCCCCCTCCCCTCTCGCCCTCCGCCTCCTCTGCCCCCTCCCATCTTCCCCCTCCCCTCTCGCCCTCCGCCTCCTCTGCCCCCTCCCATCTTCCCCCTCCCCTCTCGCCCTCCGCCTCCTCTGCCCCCTCCCATCTTCCCCCTCCCCTCTCGCCCTCCGCCTCCTCTGCCCCCTCCCATCTTCCCCCTCCCCTCTCGCCCTCCGCCTCCTCTGCCCCCTCCCATCTTCCCCCTCCCCTCTCGCCCTCCGCCTCCTCTGCCCCCTCCCATCTTCCCCCTCCCCTCTCGCCCTCCGCCTCCTCTGCCCCCTCCCATCTTCCCCCTCCCCTCTCGCCCTCCGCCTCCTCTGCCCCCTCCCATCTTCCCCCTCCCCTCTCGCCCTCCGCCTCCTCTGCCCCCTCCCATCTTCCCCCTCCCCTCTCGCCCTCCGCCTCCTCTGCCCCCTCCCATCTTCCCCCTCCCCTCTCGCCCTCCGCCTCCTCTGCCCCCTCCCATCTTCCCCCTCCCCTCTCGCCCTCCGCCTCCTCTGCCCCCTCCCATCTTCCCCCTCCCCTCTCGCCCTCCGCCTCCTCTGCCCCCTCCCATCTTCCCCCTCCCCTCTCGCCCTCCGCCTCCTCTGCCCCCTCCCATCTTCCCCCTCCCCTCTCGCCCTCCGCCTCCTCTGCCCCCTCCCATCTTCCCCCTCCCCTCTCGCCCTCCGCCTCCTCTGCCCCCTCCCATCTTCCCCCTCCCCTCTCGCCCTCCGCCTCCTCTGCCCCCTCCCATCTTCCCCCTCCCCTCTCGCCCTCCGCCTCCTCTGCCCCCTCCCATCTTCCCCCTCCCCTCTCGCCCTCCGCCTCCTCTGCCCCCTCCCATCTTCCCCCTCCCCTCTCGCCCTCCGCCTCCTCTGCCCCCTCCCATCTTCCCCCTCCCCTCTCGCCCTCCGCCTCCTCTGCCCCCTCCCATCTTCCCCCTCCCCTCTCGCCCTCCGCCTCCTCTGCCCCCTCCCATCTTCCCCCTCCCCTCTCGCCCTCCGCCTCCTCTGCCCCCTCCCATCTTCCCCCTCCCCTCTCGCCCTCCGCCTCCTCTGCCCCCTCCCATCTTCCCCCTCCCCTCTCGCCCTCCGCCTCCTCTGCCCCCTCCCATCTTCCCCCTCCCCTCTCGCCCTCCGCCTCCTCTGCCACCTCCCGCCTTCACCCTCCCCTCTCGCCCTCCGCCTCCTCCGCCCCCTCCCACCTTCCCCCTCCCCTCTCGCCCTCCGCCTCCTCCGCCCCCTCCCACCTTCCCCCTCCCCTCTCGCCCTCCGCCTCCTCCGCCCCCTCCCACCTTCCCCCTCCCCTCTCGCCCTCCGCCTCCTCCGCCCCCTCCCACCTTCCCCCTCCCCTCTCGCCCTCCGCCTCCTCCGCCCCCTCCCACCTTCCCCCTCCCCTCTCGCCCTCCGCCTCCTCCGCCCCCTCCCACCTTCCCCCTCCCCTCTCGCCCTCCGCCTCCTCCGCCCCCTCCCACCTTCCCCCTCCCCTCTCGCCCTCCGCCTCCTCCGCCCCCTCCCACCTTCCCCCTCCCCTCTCGCCCTCCGCCTCCTCCGCCCCCTCCCACCTTCCCCCTCCCCTCTCGCCCTCCGCCTCCTCCGCCCCCTCCCACCTTCCCCCTCCCCTCTCGCCCTCCGCCTCCTCCGCCCCCTCCCACCTTCCCCCTCCCCTCTCGCCCTCCGCCTCCTCCGCCCCCTCCCACCTTCCCCCTCCCCTCTCGCCCTCCGCCTCCTCCGCCCCCTCCCACCTTCCCCCTCCCCTCTCGCCCTCCGCCTCCTCCGCCCCCTCCCACCTTCCCCCTCCCCTCTCGCCCTCCGCCTCCTCCGCCCCCTCCCACCTTCCCCCTCCCCTCTCGCCCTCCGCCTCCTCCGCCCCCTCCCACCTTCCCCCTCCCCTCTCGCCCTCCGCCTCCTCCGCCCCCTCCCACCTTCCCCCTCCCCTCTCGCCCTCCGCCTCCTCCGCCCCCTCCCACCTTCCCCCTCCCCTCTCGCCCTCCGCCTCCTCCGCCCCCTCCCACCTTCCCCCTCCCCTCTCGCCCTCCGCCTCCTCCGCCCCCTCCCACCTTCCCCCTCCCCTCTCGCCCTCCGCCTCCTCCGCCCCCTCCCACCTTCCCCCTCCCCTCTCGCCCTCCGCCTCCTCCGCCCCCTCCCACCTTCCCCCTCCCCTCTCGCCCTCCGCCTCCTCCGCCCCCTCCCACCTTCCCCCTCCCCTCTCGCCCTCCGCCTCCTCCGCCCCCTCCCACCTTCCCCCTCCCCTCTCGCCCTCCGCCTCCTCCGCCCCCTCCCACCTTCCCCCTCCCCTCTCGCCCTCCGCCTCCTCCGCCCCCTCCCACCTTCCCCCTCCCCTCTCGCCCTCCGCCTCCTCCGCCCCCTCCCACCTTCCCCCTCCCCTCTCGCCCTCCGCCTCCTCTGCCCCCTCCCACCTTCACCCTCCCCTCTCGCCCTCCGCCTCCTCTGCCCCCTCCCACCTTCACCCTCCCCTCTCGCCCTCCGCCTCCTCTGCCCCCTCCCACCTTCACCCTCCCCTCTCGCCCTCCGCCTCCTCTGCCCCCTCCCACCTTCACCCTCCCCTCTCGCCCTCCGCCTCCTCTGCCCCCTCCCACCTTCACCCTCCCCTCTCGCCCTCCGCCTCCTCTGCCCCCTCCCACCTTCACCCTCCCCTCTCGCCCTCCGCCTCCTCTGCCCCCTCCCACCTTCACCCTCCCCTCTCGCCCTCCGCCTCCTCTGCCCCCTCCCACCTTCACCCTCCCCTCTCGCCCTCCGCCTCCTCTGCCCCCTCCCACCTTCACCCTCCCCTCTCGCCCTCCGCCTCCTCTGCCCCCTCCCACCTTCACCCTCCCCTCTCGCCCTCCGCCTCCTCTGCCCCCTCCCACCTTCACCCTCCCCTCTCGCCCTCCGCCTCCTCTGCCCCCTCCCACCTTCACCCTCCCCTCTCGCCCTCCGCCTCCTCTGCCCCCTCCCACCTTCACCCTCCCCTCTCGCCCTCCGCCTCCTCTGCCCCCTCCCACCTTCACCCTCCCCTCTCGCCCTCCGCCTCCTCTGCCCCCTCCCACCTTCACCCTCCCCTCTCGCCCTCCGCCTCCTCTGCCCCCTCCCACCTTCACCCTCCCCTCTCGCCCTCCGCCTCCTCTGCCCCCTCCCACCTTCACCCTCCCCTCTCGCCCTCCGCCTCCTCTGCCCCCTCCCACCTTCACCCTCCCCTCTCGCCCTCCGCCTCCTCTGCCCCCTCCCACCTTCACCCTCCCCTCTCGCCCTCCGCCTCCTCTGCCCCCTCCCACCTTCACCCTCCCCTCTCGCCCTCCGCCTCCTCTGCCCCCTCCCACCTTCACCCTCCCCTCTCGCCCTCCGCCTCCTCTGCCCCCTCCCACCTTCACCCTCCCCTCTCGCCCTCCGCCTCCTCTGCCCCCTCCCACCTTCACCCTCCCCTCTCGCCCTCCGCCTCCTCTGCCCCCTCCCACCTTCACCCTCCCCTCTCGCCCTCCGCCTCCTCTGCCCCCTCCCACCTTCACCCTCCCCTCTCGCCCTCCGCCTCCTCTGCCCCCTCCCACCTTCACCCTCCCCTCTCGCCCTCCGCCTCCTCTGCCCCCTCCCACCTTCACCCTCCCCTCTCGCCCTCCGCCTCCTCTGCCCCCTCCCACCTTCACCCTCCCCTCTCGCCCTCCGCCTCCTCTGCCCCCTCCCACCTTCACCCTCCCCTCTCGCCCTCCGCCTCCTCTGCCCCCTCCCACCTTCACCCTCCCCTCTCGCCCTCCGCCTCCTCTGCCCCCTCCCACCTTCACCCTCCCCTCTCGCCCTCCGCCTCCTCTGCCCCCTCCCACCTTCACCCTCCCCTCTCGCCCTCCGCCTCCTCTGCCCCCTCCCACCTTCACCCTCCCCTCTCGCCCTCCGCCTCCTCTGCCCCCTCCCACCTTCACCCTCCCCTCTCGCCCTCCGCCTCCTCTGCCCCCTCCCACCTTCACCCTCCCCTCTCGCCCTCCGCCTCCTCTGCCCCCTCCCACCTTCACCCTCCCCTCTCGCCCTCCGCCTCCTCTGCCCCCTCCCACCTTCACCCTCCCCTCTCGCCCTCCGCCTCCTCTGCCCCCTCCCACCTTCACCCTCCCCTGGCTGAGGCTCCCTTGGTCCCTTGCGGGGAAGCTTTGGCTGGGCTGGGGCGTTCCCACAGGAGATGGAGCTGCTGGGGGACAGGGTCGCCTACTCTTTCTAGTGGCTTGCTGGGGCAGAGGGGATATGTCCCACTTCTGCCTTTGTGCTTTTTTTCTCCCTTACTGGAATGCAAAGGAATAAACATTCCAAAGCTACAGCAAGATGTGGTGGGACAGAGTCCGGGAACTGGGCCACTGCTGTTAAACAGCATTTCCGCTTCCACCTCTACGTATTTGCTCCCTCCACTCACCATCCTCTCTTGTACTTCTGCCCTTCAGAGAGCTCTCTTCAAAAAGACCCTTGGATTCCCCCCACCACAACCCAATCAATTCTACTCTTGGTAGTAGGACAAACAGATACCTTACAGTGTTCTCACTGTGCCTAGATGTCCTGCTGGCATGAGGGGCATCGGAGGAGGTTGGGTTATTTCTAAGAAAATAAAATTCTTGCTCATTTAGCCAGAAAATCCTGGAAGGTGCACACTTCACCGGTGATGCCTATCAGGTGTCACAGGTATAGGTTTACAATCCATATTCAGCTTGAATTGGTAAAAAGGAAAGACTAATAGTTGTTCCCATTTGGTGGCCTTTCAGTAGCCTCTGCTAAATGGGCTGTCAGTCCAGTTCCTGGTAGACAGGTTGCAAAAACCATGTCCACAGTTAGCCTGAATTGGCAAACACTCTGGCATCCAGAGCAAGATCTAAAAGGGGATCAAAATATCCCTGGCTTTAAAAGGTGAGCACAACAGCTGTCCAGACTCCTGCTGTAATTGTTAGGTAGATACAGCTTAAAAGAAAATCTAGGGGTTTGCCAATTTCTTTTGGTGCCCCTTCTTCCATTCCTGATCTTTTTTCCTTCCCCCAAAAAAGGAGGCCCTTTGGTGAGCTACTTACGACTCTTTATCTGTTAATAGGATCATGGCAAAAGCGGGAGGAAAAGGAGTGAACCTGAAAGACAAACTTGATGGCAATGAACTGGACTTGAGCCTGAGTGACCTGAATGAGGTGCCAGTCAAAGAGCTGGTCAGTATCAGTCTTTTCTGGGAAGTGTTAGGCTGTGTCTACACTGGCCACTTATTCCGGAAAATCAGCCGCTTTTCCGGAATAACTTGCCAGCTGTCTACACTGGCCCCTTGAATTTCTGGAAGACCACTGACGATCTACTGTAAAATCATCAGTGCTTTTCCGGAAAAACTATGCTGCTCCCGTTCGGGCAAAAGTCCTTTTCCGGAAAACTGTTCCGGAAAAGGGCCAGTGTAGACAGCACAGATTTCTTTTCCGCAAAAAAGCCCCGATCGCGAAAATGACGATTGGGGCTTTTTTGCGGAAAAGCATGTCTACATTGGCACGGACGCTTTTCCAGAAAAAGTGTTTTTCCGGAAAAGCATCCTGCCAATGTAGACGTGCTTTTTATGGAAATACTTATAACGGAAAACTGTTCCATTTTAAGCATTTCCGGAAAATCATGCCAGTGTAGATGTAGCCTTAAGGTATTGCAGGGGAGCTTTTGAGATTACACTTGGTCTTTGTGAATTACAGATTGGTCCAGGAAGGGGTGGGGTTGAGGTCTGGGGATGCATTGGGCCCTGTGTACATTTTGTTTTTTACCAGCTCAAGGTAATGCCAATTCAGTATTTAAAGGCACACTCACACTGTTTCTCCTGGTTTGAAGAAAAAAGGGAAGATAAGGATATGCAACCTTGAATCTTTCCTGTTGTTTTGACTTTGGGGATTGATGTGACCTGAAGAAAAGTGTGTTCCTATTGATCTAATCTGGTTTAATCCAGATTGTGTATTAAATGGAGGCTTTGGGTGAAAGAACCTATTTCAGTGGGAGCAGTGCTCATAAAACCCTGACTTTGAGTGAGATGTAAGAGAGTTGCAAAAATAATTGGAATGGTGGCAACTGGGAAATTCTTAAAACTCCATGTATGGGAGAAATCCCAAAAAACTTAAATATAAGCAGCAAAGTATCAAACATGTTAAAGAACTGTAACTTTGATAAGTCTCAGGTATCTGTGTTAGTCTGTATCTGCAAAAACAAGGAGTCCTGTGGCACTTTAAAGACTAACAGATTTATTTGGGCATAAGCTTTTGTAAAACCCACTAAATTAGAAAAGCAGATATAATATATATATATATATATAATCTCAATATCATACATGTATATCAAAAGAAGGGAGTTATCAAGTGTAAGACCAGTGTTAATGAGCCCAATTCAGTCACTGGTCAAACTCTTGATAAGTAACTCCCTATACTAGTACATATATATCCCTATCTCTGTAATTTCTACTCCAGTGCATCTGATGAAGTGGGTTTTACCCATGAAAGCTTATGCACAAATAAATATATTAGTCTTTAAGGTGCCACGGAACTCCTTGTTGTTTTTGTAGCTTTGATATAGGTTTAATTTGGTTCCTTGGCTCTTTTTCAGGCTGCCCTTCCAAAGGCTACCATATTGGATTTGTCCTGTAACAATCTCACTTCCTTACCGGTAAGAGGAGAGAAAAGCTTTGTGGAAGAGGGTGGGATCTGCTTGAAAATATCTGTAGAAGGATACTAGCCTTCATGGGAGGATGAGGTGGGAATTTGATAACTAGCAGTTATGTTAGCTTCTTATGTTAGCTGGAGTACTGTGTCCAGTTCTGGGCGCCACATTTCAAGAAAGATGTGGAGAAATTGGAAAGGGTACAGAGAAGAGCGACAAGAATGATCAAAGGTTTAGAGAACATGACCTATGAAGCCAGGCTTCATGAACTGGGCTTGTTTAGTTTGGAAAAAAGAAGATTAAGGGGGGACATGATAGCGGTTTTCAAATATCTAAAAGGGTGTCACAAGGAGGAAGGAGAAAATTTGTTCCTCTTGGTTTCTGAGGACAAGACAAGGAGTAATGGGCTTAAAGTGCAGCAGGGGAGGTTTAGATTGGACATTAGGAAAAAATTCCTAACTGTCAGGGTGGTCAAATATTGGAATAAATTGCCAAGGGAGGTGGTGGAATCTCCCTCTCTGGAGATATTTAAGAACAGGTTAGATAGACATCTGTCAGGGATGGTGTAGATGGAGCTTGGTCCTGCCTTGAGGGCGGGGGGCTGGACTCTATGACCTCTCGAGGTCCCTTCCAGTCCTATTATTCTATGATTCTTGGGAGGATAAATGACATTGCCCCTGTTATAGAGGGGCCTTTAGAGTTGACTAACTTTTACTGAGGTTGGCTGGCATAGCACAGTGCTCTTACAGAAAATGAATGTACTCAGTGATAGCAGCTTCTATTCCAAAGTGCTCTACCAGCTAGATACCAAAAGCATCTGTCTTATGTCCATTGTAATTATATTGCTATATATAGCCCTGTTTAGGAGACTATCCACTGCTCCCTACATTACAGTCCTAGGGTACGTCTAGATGTAGAGGAGGAAGAGGGTAGCTTTCCCTCATAACACAAACAGCTTTGTGTGAAACCCATGTGAATCTCCCTATACTCCCTGCAGAGTGCAGCATAGACTAGCTGTAGCATCTGTTATTCCTTGGTAAAGTTGATTAACAAGCTTGTACATTTCTTCACTCCTGTTTGGGTTCTAGTCGGACTTCTGCAGTTTGACCCACCTGGTGAAACTGGATCTGAGTAAAAACCAGCTTCAGCAGCTCCCCTCAGACTTTGGCCGCCTGGTTAACTTGCAGCACCTGGACCTTCTGAACAACCGATTAGTCATGCTACCAGTCAGTTTTGCACAGCTCAAGGTAAAACTCCTCTGGCTAGGCAGTTTATGTAAAGCCTTGGAGTGCAGCCCAAAGTCTTATGATTCTTCTAAAGTTGATTCCTCTAGTAAAAAGTCAGTGTCTCTGCCAGCAGACCACTGTGGGCTCTTATATGTAACTGGGAACTAGCCTGCTGCCCTTGACAAAACTTTCAGTTTTGTTAAACTCCTGCCTGAAATCTGCATTTGTCTCCCATATCTCTTTCATTCACACGACAGCTAAATAGTCTTTACTTCTGCTTTGACTCTTTAGAATAAACACCACCTTATGTGCTCTTTCTTTGTTGCTGTACTGATGTGTGCCTACTCTAGCCTGGTCCCATTTGTGTTTCCTTCCTGCAGAATCTGAAGTGGTTGGATCTGAAGGACAACCCCTTGGATCCTATCCTGGCCAAAGTGGCAGGAGACTGCCTGGATGAGAAGCAGTGTAAACAGGCTGCTATCAGGGTAACCATTTTATTTTTGTCTTCCTGCTTGGATTCCCTGGCTGTTCTTTCTCATTCTCTTGCTTGGAGTCTCTCAGCAGGGCAATTGTTACAGAGCAATGAGGGAGGGGCAAGTCCCATTGAAAGCCACTGTGATGATTTCATTACTGCCATGACCCTGGAAAGCTAGGGAGTGAGCTAATCAGGGTGTTCAGCTGGAGGTGGCCTTAAGAGTAAGCATTTAAGTACAGATCACTAAGAAAAAGATTATTCAGAAAAATAATCTATATCCAGGTTTGCATTTTTGAAGAAGTGCTAGCACTCTGCAGCTAGGAGTCATGGAGCAGGAATAGAACAGGTTGGAGCCTATGCTGCTGCAGCAGCTCTCTGCCATTCCTGAAGCAGGGATTATGTTTTTTCAGTCTTAGAAAAAGCATGTTGTCGTGGAGCAGTGGGTGCATACCTTACCTAGCACTAGCACAAAGGCTGCAAGGAGGGGGTTTTTTTAATGGAGAGATTTTGTCTGAACCTGAAGCATCATCTTTGGGACCAAAGTAGTCAGTGCTTCAAACATTCAGCAACATCATCAAAGTCTAAATGAAGCTGTGCCAAATTGCACCAGCTGAGGATTTAGCCCAATGCAGATGTCATAACATTTCCATCATCAGATGTCTATGTACCTTGGTAATGATATCATCAGGTTGGAGTTCATCGCTAGTGTAAAAAAGACAAGCCAGAGTCTGCTGTCGTACAGCTTTCTTCATCATTAATGTGGCTGTTGCCTAACAGCACACAGGGCTTTAACAAGTGAGGTAAGTTAGACCTAAACGGTGTAGCAAGGGCTCCTGGATTCTGTGGCAGCCTCGCCTGAATTAAGTGTTGTCTGTATTATTCATTTTTATGTTTAACTCATATAATCAATATGGTGTTTACCCTTGTTAATGTTATCTTCCCCCACCTCTGAATGGCGGGGTTTTGATGTATTGTATTGATGATGCATTGAAGATAATGTGGAGATTGTCAGGGTAAACATGGAGGTTGTGACATTGGTGTAAGAGCTGCTTGGGACTCACTCGTATTCTGCTTCATAGAATCAGAAGTCAGTCACAGAGAAATGCATTCCTTCTCCCATTTATGACTACATTCTAGTTCTGTTTGCATAGTAAGATGATAGTGCAATGAATTCGCTGCATAGATCTCATGCTGTTGTCTTGGATTTTGAAGGTGCTGCAGCATATGAAAGCTATCCAGTCTGAGCAAGATCGAGAGAGGCAACGAAGGCTACAAGCAGAGCGAGGTAGGCACAAGTAGCCCCCACTCACTGCTTTAGGCTCTTTTCTATTTCCATAGATTACATGTCCAAACCTGCTGATTCTGCCCTTCCAGAACAGCTAACAGACTGTTTCAGATATCATAGCATTGAGGACCTACAGAATGTTTATTCTGAATTGGAGGTGAAGGAGGTGAAGGAAGAGATTCCTGAATAACCACTTAAACCTGTGAAAGTGGAGAGGGGTCTGATCCACACTAGAGCAGGATGGCCTCTGGTGGGTCAGTTGGGTAGCCACAGGAAGGCCTGACGGTATAGCTGAAACAAAAACCAGGACTATGTAGCACTTTAAAGACTAACAAGATGGTTTATTAGGTGATGAGCTTTCATGGGCCAGACCCACTTCCTCATATCAAATAGTGGAAGAAAATTGTCAACCATATATCTGAGGAAGTGGGTCTGGCCCACGAAAGCTCATCACCTAATAAACCATCTTGTTAGTCTTTAAAGTGCTACATAGTCCTGGTTTTTGTTTCAGCTACACCAGACTAACATGGCTACATTTCTATCACTATTCTGATAGGGTATAGATTCTGTTGCCTAGAGCTTGATTTTACTTCTGTGTCTTGGAAACTGATTTCCTCACTGGAGAACTGTCTTTCTTTTTAAAGGGGATTGTTTTCCGTAAGAACTTTTTTTTCTTCTCTTCTTGGAAAGGTGGTGTGGTTTGAGTGCAGGAGCAAGAAAATAGGAGTCTTACTGCTATTCACTATGAATGTCACATAGGTCTTGCCTATGCTGACAAAGTTCAGCGTTTCAATTCACAAGCAGAAGTACTAGTGTAGAGAAGGTCAGTTGTTTATGTCAGTGGTGCTAAAAAAGCATGAAACACGTCCACAAACAGTGCACCTGTACTGTTACCACTGATGATTTATGGGTGCAAACTCTGAATGTAAATAAATTGTTAAAGAACTAGGGACGTGAATGGTTAACTGGTAAGCCTCACTCTTGCAGCATGGGTCCCCTACCCCTTCCCTTTAATTGGGTAACTAATAAAACCTAATGTTTAACCGGTTAACCAGTTAAATGGGATTTTACATCTTTAAAAGGAATGTTAAACTGAAAAGTCATATGTGTCTGAAAATTCTTAATACCAAAGATTACTATTATTGAAAAGTTAGCGATAAACACTTATTTCAATATACTTTCTGCATTTGACAATATTCAGCACATGGTCAATTTCTCATCTGTGAAACAGACCCTTTTGAATATGACGCAGAAAAAGCCTTACTTTTTAAATGGAATCTAAATACTACTACTCCTACTACTTATATAGTCTTTTATCAAACCAGAATTTCTTTAAAATTGATCATGTTAATAAAATTTAAGTTGACTGTGTCCTTTTAACATTTGTGCTTCCATTTCTTGCACATGTAACATGGACAATGCATCGGGGCTAAGTTAATGGTTGCAAAGTGCTAAGATTTCTGGATGAGAGGTGCTATTGACAAAGAGAAGGGGTGTGAAGTATATAGATTTTTTTTCCCCACTGATTCACATAAGACTGCTTCTAGGGGAGAATAGATTAGGAGGAGGAAGATAAAGTGCACCTAACACTTCTGGATAATAAAACAGGGCATTTATTTCATTTTGTTACCTTTTCTGTGGGAAAGAGGCAGTCATACAGCAAGGGGGAAGGTGCATTGCTGTTGTTAATTACAGATGGGGGAAAAAATGTTTGTTGGTCCTCAGAGATGGAGAAGCAGCGTGAAGCAGAGCAGCGAAAAAAGGAGGCTCAGGAGAGGGAACTACGGAGGCGAGAGAAAGCAGAAGAGAAAGAACGCAGGAGACGGGAGTATGATGCCCTAAAAGCGGCAAGGCAGGAGATGGAAACACAAACACAAAAAGAAAGCAGTGAGATCCCAAGTAAGTCAGTTGAGAAATATCCACTAGGAAGCAGGTGTACTCTATAGAGTACAGTACAAATGTTTTCATCTGTATTTTGGCACTGTGTAGGAGAAATAAGTGGAAGAGAATGAGAAAGGAACACATCATTGGTGAGGTTCTATCTCCAGCTCCACCATGCTTTTTGATAGTGCTAGATTATGTAGCAAGTTATTAGGAAGTAGTCCTTTGTGTTCAATATGAGCAAGGGACAGAGGAAATGGGCCACAGTGGCAGAGCTATTTCAGAATCTTGCAATATGAGTAGCTTTAGGAGAACAAGCACAACTTCAACATCTGCAATTGATAAGAGTGCTTGATTACTTACCTGAAAGATTCAAAGTTCTGCAATTGCTGCTAAGGTACATTTCCTCTGCCTCATAAAAGATTTATTGAATGTACCTTTAAAATGCCTGCAAAACAGGCTTCTTAACACGAGTTTAATGCATTTCGTTGTCTTCAGAGTTGCTTGCTTATCTGGATAATGGGTGTGAGCATTATGGTTGTTTTCTGTGGGATCAAAAACATCTACTTACTGAAAAAAAAAATGAAATGTTGAATTCTTTGTGGATGGGGCCTGTGCATGTTTCGACCTGAAGAACACTAGGGAAATCTGAAATGGTGTAATTATTGTATTTTGTTATGGGAGAGCGAACCATGTCACAGCATTTTCTTATAAGGGACTCACATCTGCATATAGGATATTACATGGATAGAGATTTCTCTTCATATGTGATTTGGTTTTCCCATTCTCTTTTCCCCCAATTTATATCATTACAGAGCTTGCATCAGTTTCTCGTCCATCTCACCTGCCCCAGCACAGGCGCTCCTGGTTCCAGGCATTGTTGAAGTTGCTGCTCTTGATATTTCTGTGTGCCCTTAGCACTGTGGCTGTTTGCCGAGTGACGGAGCTGCAGCGCCACTCTCTGTGCATCAGTGTGAACGCTCTCTATGAGGATGTGGTAATGGCTCTGCAAAGCCACAAAATAGTGCAAAATGTATTACATCAGAACTCGCAGCAATGATGCTGCTACTTGGACATGTGCATTGTCAGCATCTCTTGCCACCATCAACACAGCCAGAATTCCTATGGAATTGCGTTCTGGTGAAACTGCCTTTGATCAGTCAGCACTGGAGTTGTTGGTCCATTCAGAACAGAGCTGAGCGACTGCTTAGATTATTTTTGTTGTGCTTGTGTCTGAGCTGGTCTGCAACTCCTGTTTGCTCACATTAAATTAGAACATGTTAAGACTTTCCCTTTCTAAAGGAGCAAAAGGTTGCCAGTTGGAGAAGCGAAGAAAGCTATAACTAATTCGGGTAACTATGGCCCTATAAGGAGGTGGAGTATTTAGACTGAGTATCATCTTCTTGCTGACTCTAAGCAAACCTTTACTAAAATCAGTGGTGGTGAGGCAAAATACGTAAGCCCACTAAGATGTATGGAGAATGGCTGTGTATTGATATATCAAAGCGCAGGAGTGATGAAATGCTATTGAAACAAGAATTGTCAGCTTTGTCAATATAACAGTTTTCGCAGCAGTTTGGTGTCTGATTCTGAGCTGGATATTTACATTGCTTACACACATTTGTGCAGTGCCTCTGTTTTGATTGGGGTTTGCGTACATTGTACTATTACACCATAATGGAACCACTAACTTGAGCAAGCTAATACAAAAAGCAGTTATACCGAGGAAAGACTAGGCAGTCATACAGACTGATTTCTCCCTGAGTGACAGCCAGAGCAGGCTCCTGAAGGACTGTTGAAAAATGACAGTGATGCTACAGCTAGCCATGAAAATAGAACCTTTCACCTCTAACCTATGCTAGGAGCATATTAGTCAATGGGTGATACTTGGTCACAGTGTCTTGAACACTTGTGCTGTGCAGAGCCCATCATACTTTAGAAGTCATTCTCCATAAACTGCAGTGGTCTCCAATCTTTAAGTACAAGATCACTTTTTCAATTTGTCAGTCCAGCATCTACCTTAAACCCAAATACTCTTGTCCTACCTCCTTTCCTGAGACCCTGCTCTTGCTCATTCAGTGGAGGTATGGTACAGGGGTAGGGAGAGAGGGAAATGCTGACATCACCACCCCCTTTTTTCTCTTCCCCCATCCTGCGCAGGAAGCTCTGGGGTGCAGCTCCAAAGCAGAGGGCAGGAGAACCATGGCAGTGGGGGGAGGGGCAGCCAAAGTGACAGCACCTTATAACCTCCTAGCCAAACCAGTCAGGATCACCTGTCAGAGGCTCTAGGATCTACCAGTTGATCCCAATCTACTGGTTTGTGATCACTGCCAGAAAGTCTCAAACTGGCCAACTTCACATTAACACCAATTCTGGTGCTTTGTACCCCTGAGACAGCCCAGCGGTACAGTAGGGTGTGGGATTACTGCAGTCTCACATTCCCAGTGTTTAATTCCCAATAGCTCATCACAGAAAGGAAGATAAGTCTTCACCTGTGCTGTTTAATCCAGATGGACAAAAGCTACTGCTCCCTGGCTCCAGTGTAACACCGCAGGGAGGGAGTTTCAGCTAAAAGGAAGGTAGTCTTAGGCTTTCCAGTGACACCCTCCTTCATCTACAGACATGGAGTATGTGACCTTTGTACCATACATTCTCACAGCTTTTTATCGAATATGCTATCTAGACTGAGGAGCTGTAACTACTGTTTATGAACCATTAATACTCCATTATAAATACAAGTTGTCTCTAGTAGAGAAGTGTGTTCCACCCAACAGTACTAGTGGGCTATGTCTGGACTGGCATGATTTTCCGCAAATGCTTTTAACAGAAAAGTTTTTCCGTTAAAAGCATTTGCAGAAAAGAGCGTCTAGATTGGCACGGACACTTTTGCGCAAAAGCACTTTTTGCAGAAAAGCGTCCGTGCCAATCTAGACGCAGTTTTGCGCAAGAAAGCCCCGATCGCCATTTTCGCCGTCAGGGCTTTTTTGCGCAAAACACTTTTTAGCTGTCTACACTGGCCCTCTTGCGCAAATACATTTGCGCAAGAGGGCTTTTTCCCAAACGGGAGCAGCATAGTATTTGCACAAGAACACCGACAATCTTACATTAGATCGTCAGTGTTCTTGCACAAATTCAAGTGGCCAGTGTAGACAGCTGGCAAGTTTTTCTGCAAAAGCAACTGCTTTTGTGGAAAAACTTGCCAGTCTAGACGCAGCCGTGAAGTTTGCCTCAAAGATCTACAGCAGTCAGCAGATGCAGTGGTATCAATGCTAAAATGTGTATCACAGCCTAACAGCAGTAGGATTATCCTAAAGGCAATGCATCCCAGCATGGCTGTAATATGGATCTTTTCTCCTCTGCAGTGCCATGCGTACAATGGATAAGTTATACAGGGCATAGCATTTGACTTAACACTCATTTAAATAATTGCTTTGTGACATGAGTACTAAAGGACTGCAGCTACGCTCATACATGAGTTTGAGTGCTGAAGGTTTTGGGGGAAGTTAAATGCACATCTCTACGATAGGAAGCATCTGCCTTTAAAGCATCTTTAGCTGCAAATAAAGCCTGTTAGAACTCGGCTCATTCTCTAATCCATAAACCAGACTTCAGATTCCAGCAGATCAAGCTAAACCTGGAGCATTTGAGTCAGTGCAGTTTGTTGAAGAGGAGCATCCCCCTTTACAGTCTGGAAGTACAACTGATTACGTTTTTAAGATCCATAATTCCATTTATTAGCTAACTTTTCTTCCTAAAAGGGAAATAAATATTTAATCAGTAAAATCCATGTTCTCATGGGCCTAGCCCATGACATCCAGAGAGAGGTCAGGATTGAGAGAGGTCATCTGCAGATGAATCCGTTTGGAGAGTTCTGGTCCAACCCGCCGTGACGTGGCAGTTACACCATCACCACGGCGCACAGGTATGTCAGCAAGCATGTTCTGTTGCTCCCGCACTGATAGGCATCTACGGTAGGCCTAAAAACAGTACAAAGGAATGGTGATTTCATCCTTTGTCCACAAAGGACAGAGGGGAAGCATTCCTTCATTGCTTCCACCTTTCATGTTTTATACTCTATCAGTTTTCCCTCAAGACCTCACTTGGTATCCAAGAGGCAGAACAATTTCAGTAAGTACAGATTATGTTCATTGTAAGGACTATGCCAAGCAAGAAGCATACAGCCTGGATACACCTAGGAAAGCCATGTGGGGAAGGGGAAACTCTTATTCAAGCAAGTGAGGGTATGAACTTTAAGATAGGTCTCTTCAATAGCTTCATTCTGCTCTGAATGCTAGTCTGTGGTTATCTGCCAAAGTCAATGAATGCAGAGGTCATCTCCTTGATCACTTGCATTTAAAGCCTTCAAAGTGAACTTTGCATGGTTGGAGTTTCAGCAAATTAAGTTGTCATGGGATAAGAGGGAAGATCCTTTCATGGACTGAGAACTGGTTAAAAGACAGGAAACAAAGGGTAGGAATAAATGGTAAATTTTCAGAATGGAGAGGGGTAACTAGTAGTGTTCTCCAAGAGTCAGTTCTAGGACCAATCCTATTCAACTTATTCATAAACAAGCTGAAGAAAGAGGTAAACAGTGAGGTGGCAAAGTTGCAGATAATACTAAACTGCTCAAGGTAGTTAAGACCAAAGCAGACTGTGAAGAACGTCAAAAAGATCTCACCAAACTAAGTGACTGGGCAACAAAATGGCAAATGAAATTTAATGTAGATAAATGTGAAATAATGCACATTGAAAAAATAACCCCAGCTATACATACAACATGATGGGGACTAATTTAGCTACAACTAATCAGGAAAGAGATCTTGAAGTCATCATGGATAGTTCTCTGAAGACGTTCACGCAGTATGCAGCGGCAGTCAAAAAAGCAAAGAAGTTAGGAATCATTAAAGGGATAGAGAATATCTTATTGCCCTTATATAAATCCATGGTATGCCCACATCTTGAATACTGCATACAGATGTGGTCTCCTTCTCAAAAAAGATATACTAGCATTAGAAAAGGTTCAGAGAAGGGCAACTAAAATCATTAGGGGTTTGAAATGGGTCCCATAGGAGGAGAGATTAAAGACACTGGGACTTTTCAACTTGGAAAAGAGGAGACTAAAGGGGGATATGATAGAGGTATATAAAATCATGACTGGTGTGGAGAAAGTGAATAAGGAAAAGTTATTTACTTGTTCCCATAATATAAAACTATGGGCCACCAAATGAAACTAATGGATAGCAGGTTTAAAACAAATAAAAGGAAGTTCTTCACACACATCACATAGTCAATCTCTGGGACTCCTTGCCTGAGGAGGCTGTGAAGGCTAGGACTATAACAGGGTTTAAAAGAGAACTAGATAACCTCCATGAATTTAAGTCCATAAATGGATATTAGCCAGTATAGGTAAGGAATGGTGTCCCTAGTCTGTCAGAGGGTGGAGATGGATGGCAGGAGAGAGATCACTTGATCATTACCTGTTTGATTCACTCCCTCTGGGACACCTGGCATTGGCCACTGTCAGCAGACAGGGTACTGGGCTGGATAGACCTTTGGTCTGACCCAGTATGGCCATTCTTATGTTCTTAAATCCTGAGCGAGGGGTGTCTAAGCAGGGAATTAATCTAGAGACTATTCTGGATTAACTGAAGGGTAGATGCTCTTCAAGTGGATTAAACTAATTTGGAGTAAGTCAAATTCATTCTGGAATCTGCATTCACACCCTGCTTTATTCCAGATTAATTTTCATATGCAGATATGCCTCATCTGAAATGTTCAGGCTTTTGAGGTACCTTGTGTCAGAAGCACAAAACAAAGTTCCTTACAAACTAATACTACTTATTTCAGATATTTGCAGGAGGTGCAAGAGAACAGGAAGAGAGCCTACCAGGCAGTCCCAGTTTTTCCACAGGTTACTCAGGTGTTCCATAAAAAATGCTCCTCCTCGTCAGCAGCTCTCACATGCAGTTTACTGCTTAGAGCACATGAATTTGGAGACTGGAGTTTTTTATTCCTGGCTCTCACTAACCCATGGCAGTGCTGCAGTAGGGTCATAGTCTGTGGTTTACTTTCTTCTTCTCTGAAAGGGGAAATAATGTTCTCCCCTCCCCTCCCCTCCATCAAATGTTCTGAGCGCCATCAATAAAAGTTGGTATGGAATTATTTGCCTCGGTTACCCCATGTGTTGCTGTGAGGGGACTGGGTATTTTGGACAAAGTATTCCAAAGTGACACAGGATCACTCAGTATTTCCCTCTGAAGTTATTTGCATTAGTAGCTCTGTGTGCACAATGTTATCAGTAACTGCGGAACACCCTTACCTGATTCAGAAGCAGAGGAGAAGGGTATGCAGCCACAATGGCATTGGCCATCTCCAGACTGACCCGGTTGAATTGTTGGATTTGCCTCTTCCAAACTTGCAAAAGTCCCTTCCCTGAGCGGTCTACCTTCACACCTCCACACCACTCACTCTCTAGGTAGAAGGAGAAACCTGTCTTCTCTCGCTGTTGCCTGCAGAGGGCACAGAATGGAGGAAGAACAATCAGAAAACTAATCTTTGCATCTCTCAACAGATAATAGGAGAGAAAAACAATGGCCACAGAGCAGAGAAGCCTCACATCTGGCACAGATTTAGGACATCTGCCATGATACTATCTTCCCTACAGCTACGATTACACTGCAGAATTTTTGTGCAAAAACTTGCAGAGAGTCCACACTGCAAGCCCATTCTTGTGCAAGAAAAAGTACAGTAAAGCGTAAGAACACAGGGCTTTTTCCACAATAGTTATTCCTCTCCCCACGAGAAATAAGCCTTTTTGCACAAGAACTCTTGCGCAATAAGGCATGTGTGGACAAGCAACAGGGGTTTCTTGCGCAAGATGGCCGTCAGAGCTTTCTTGTGCAAGACAGCATCCACACTGCCATGGATGCTCTTGCGCAAAAGCACATGGCAGTATGGACGTGCTCTTGCACAAGAATTTTTTGCACAAGAATTCATGTGCAGAAAGTTCTTGCACAAGAAGCCAACAGTGTAGATGTAGCCTACAAGTATTAGTAAGATCCTTTCATTGGGGTGGAAATAACCAGAGGGAGTTTGGCACGTTAGAAGGAGGACTGGTGGTAACAAAGGCCAGAGGCAGCTATGCTGGTTTTGTGCTACCCCGGGATTCCTCTTAGCAAGAGCAAACTCAGGCTCTTTTTGTCTACTGAAGCAACATAGGAGGTAGGGTATACGGCAGAAATAATCTATGCTTTTTATTCCTGATACCAATAGCCCAGCACTCACAAACAATCCTACAAAAAACCAATGCACATGCAATCTGGGGAAAGAGATGTTAGAAGCAACATATAAAAGCATTATAAAGGTTTGTGTGTTTTCATGGATGTTACTGAGACAAACACTGAAGCTGCTGTGATGAGTATGCTAGTATGGGGTTTCATTGTTGGGAAATGACCTATAAGAACATAACTACAGTGTCTTATTGTGATCATCTACTAAATGGGGATTCTGCTGCAGTGACATCTCTCAAACACAAATATTTTCAGGGTGAAGCATAGAAGTGGGTGCTATAGCAAGTGAAACCAACTCTTAGGCTTGTAGCCCAATGCACCAGCGGTTTCAGTGCAAGAGACACAAGTATTAGTTGCTTTAAGGCACCTAATCTATGGCTGTTAATTACTGCCCAGCCTTTGAGGGTGTTTCTTCACTGTCAAAAACATGTGTTCTTAACTCAAGTTTAAGTAGCAATGAAAAGACTGCAACTCAGGTTTGCAATTCAAGTTCAACCCCTGGCTGTCCTGGAAGCTTTAATTCACACTGCTTACCCAAGTTAAAACAGAATCATTTTGTCTTCCCTGCTATTTTAGCCCAAGTTCAGAACACCCCTCTCCTTTTTTTGCAGTGAAGAATGTACTATACTGTGTAGCACTGAAATAAGGTTGCATGACTACTGTTCCCCTCCAATATTCATGGAAAGGAGGCCTCTCCTGAAGCTATCCCCAAAACTAACTTAGCTTACAAAATAAATCCCACTCACTTGAATGGTGCTTCAGCCACAGCTTTGGTGAACATACCGGCAAAGTCTCCAAACTCCTTCCAACTCTCAAGGATTCTAACCTGGACTCCTGTGTGAAGCTGCAGATCCACCAATGCCTGTAGACATGACAGAGCCCAAGAGTGAGTGAGTTGACTCATCCTGCCCCACCACCAAAGTCCAATCCCTAGCATTTTTGCTTAAGGCAAAGATTTAGGGGATATTTTGGGAGGAGAAATGAACGCAAGAAGCCTCTGAAAACAACCACATTAGCATATTTTCTGCCAAAAAAACTCAGTGTGTAGACACAGCCTAAAAGATTAACAGTTTGGAGTGTTGTATTTATTGCCTCGAGTTGCTCTATAGCAGTGATGGGCAACCTGCAGCCCGATGGCCACATGTGGCCCCTTAGGGTTCTACGTGTGGCCTGTGAGACATTTAGTTTACTGTTACCAATCCGCACAGTTGCCAGATTATGCTGATTTCCATCTGCATTGATTTTTTCCCAACCGGTATTTTTAAAGCAAAACACACAAAGCAAGGGCACACAAAGTGCAACACTGACAAATGGGATGCAAAGGGTGTGCACCCAATCAAAATGTTGCTATGGTTCATTTGGCACACCCCAAAAATTCTAGGTAGGCAAGCACAATTAGCAAAACTACCCTATCCCAAGAAACAATCCTGGTTATGAAAATCTTGTGGCTCACTGAGATGAAGGGCCACTCATGGGGCCCACCCACTAGCTTAGGTTGCAATAGTTGCTCTATAGAAAAATGAGGCATACTGTATTCCAGATTAAACTATTTTAGCAGATTAACATTTCCTTAGCGAGGACCCTGTTCTGCACCATTTACTCCAGCCAGTGTCCATTGCACACTCTGGTAACGGTTATCCACTGGGCTGTAAAGAACAATGGGCGTTGCATCAAAGATTTACATTAAGGGAATGATATCTGAAACTGACATAGGGAAGACACTCTGGTTTCCAGAGAGGAGGGATGGATGTGCAGCATTAGAGTCCTCTAGCAGCTGAATAGCTCCATCTGATTCAAGCTGCCTCCCTAGCAACAAGAAGAGTGCAAGAGAATGCATTCAGACACACAAAACCAAGTTCCTGGATTCTTACTAGAATCAGAATCCCTGGGTGTATCCTATTTCTATTAGATATGTTCAAGTCAGTTGCTCTTTGGTTATGGTAGAGAACTGAGGCTGACCCACAAATGTATGCATGAAGCACATCAGAATGGGCATTCTAAATTGCTGAGAGCAAGGAAAGGAGAAAAATGCTCCAATTTTACCCACTTCTTCCACTTCCACTCTCGACAGCTCAGGGCGAGAGTCCCCCTTTCCCTTCTGTTTTTTTCGTTTCCCTTGTCCTTCTGCTTGGCTTCCATTCAGCACTGCCTGCCGCACCTTCTTCCGGGACTGAACTTTGTGAGATCTGAGAAGAAAAAGAATAGCTCAGGAGTCCACGTCTCCTATGATGCTAGCAGAAGGCACTATAGGACTGGTGCACAAGTGCAGTCGCTGGGGAGCTCAGTTACCAGCCATCCCCTGGAGGAGATGCTGTATGAAACAGAGAAGGAAGACTAGTTACAGAGGATGTTACTGCTATTATTCATGTTTCAGCCTCTGCCAGTAGGAAATACAAGTGATGATGCAGAACATCTATGGTCATTACCAACACTTATCCCATAAGAAACAGCATTGAAACCTCTGAAGAATTCTAACCTGAAGTATTTTTCTAGTTCAACTACAGCCAGTGCTAGAGTTTTGCCAGGAGCTCTCTCTAGGACACAAGCTACAAAGCTCCGTAAGGTCTCTTTTGGTCCTTCTTTGCCACCCTGGATTTCCTGCAAAGACAGCCAGAAAATAGTATTTAAACCCACTTTAACCCACACAGGCCAGCACTAGCAAAGAGTAGCTTCAGCCCCCATTCCTGGATCTGTGCAGATGTAAGGGTTTGCTCACTCATATCCAGTTGTAGAACTGGAATTTCAGGTTCCAGTACTGCAGTTAAGTCAAACCCTGCAACATGCAGAGAAATTTCTGCACATCCCTGGCCTCCTTTCAATACAGCAGCAATGGTCCGGGGGGGGGACAAGAAGGGCGATTTCCATCTCGCAGGTTCAGAAGGCTTGACAACACTGGACATTCATAGAGTTTTAAAACAGGAAAATTTGTACTGCCCTAAACCTCCAAAAGAAACTTATGTAAAAAGAAAAATAAGTAATGCACATTTGGACAGCGCACAGTAGTCATGAGCAATCTCACCTGTCTGTAGCTGTAGATCATGGATAAAAAATCATCCAGGCAAAGCAGAACCAGGATATTGGGTTCTTCTATCCAGCTGCCTTCTTCGACCTGCCCAGTGTTGAACACACACTGGATTTAAGATATCAGTGAAACTGATCCCAGCTTCACTTACATCCAGGGTTTTAGCCACACATGAAACATTTCAACGTGAGAGCTTGTTAATGGTCCACCTCCCTTGAGTTGATTGCTAAAAGGAGGCAGGAGGACAGTTACTAAGACTGATGATGAGTTTTATAGTGCATGTGGCATCAGTTTATCAATAAGTTGAGAGAGAGCATGCAAAAGTCTGGGAACAACAAGAGACCAGAGTGGTCATAGAGATCAAAGAAATGTGACCCCAAAGTGGAGAATATTAAAAGAGCTCAGCAGAAAGAGGGGTCAAAGATATGGACAATGAATTGTGTTTATAAAACATTAATAGATAATGTCAATCTGCTTTACAGAGAGTCACTATTACAGATTAAAGTGAACATCAGCTACCCTTCTGAGGAGGTATAAGGCCAAGAGTGAGCGAGCAATTGCAGAAGTAGATGGGCACAAGATCAGAAGTATTGTGGAGGAATGTCTATTGATAATTTTGAATGCAAACAAAGGAGTTTAAAATTGGATTCAAAGATAGATAAGAAGTCAGCAAAGGTAATACAGAGGATGTGGATGTAATGGTTCCACTTCTGAGAGGAAAAGGGGTCTGGCAAGAGCATAACTGAGGTTTAAAAAATAATACTATAGGAAATATTTAGAATAGTCCAGAAGGGGAATAAATGTGCAGGTAGGCATTTGAGAGGAGTTAGGCCCAAGACAAACTGGCACTATTTTAGGGGAGAGGAAAAAAAATTTTCAGATTAAGAAAGCATTCCAAGATTTTTGCCCTCACAGCCAGGACTTATGGTCCAGGTTTATTCCATGATTCTGAAATCACCAAGGACATTTTAACTCAGGAGGAAGACTAATTTCTGAAGCATTTAACGGTAGGAAATTAGGGGACAACCAGGAGCTGAGGGTATGTCTACACTACAGAGTTAGTTCGAACTAACTTAGTTAGAATTAGTTAATTCGAACTAAGCTAATTCGAACTAACGCGTCTAGAACTAAAAACTAGTTCGAATTAGCATTTTGCTAATTCGAACTAGCATGTCCACATTGAGTGGACCCTGAACAGGGCTTAAGGATGGCCGGAAGCAGTGCCGGCAGGGCATCAGAGGAGGACTTAGAGCGTGGAGATGCTGTCTCAGGCTAGCCGAGGGCTGCGCTTAAAGGGACCCGACCCCCACCCCGGACAGACAGTTCTCAGGGGTGCCCCGCTTGAAAACCAGTCCTGGCTTGGAGTGCCCGGAGTGCCCACATTGGGCACATCACAGCACTTGGCCATCAGCCCGGCTGCACTTGCTGCAGGCTGCCATCTGGGGAGAGGGGGCAATTGGGGGGCTGCAGGAGAGCTTCCACCCCCAAAAGCCCGCAGAGCCAGCCCAGTCCTCCCCATCGGGGGCTCGTACCCCATTCCTCCCTCACCCCCTTCCACTTACCCTTCCCTAGCCCCCCTTCCTGATGTACAAAATAAAGATAACGTTTCTTCCAACATTGATTCTGTCTTTATTGAACAAAACTGGGGGAGACTGGGAAAAGGAGGTGGGAGAGGGGAAGAGAAAGGCTGGGAGAGGAGAGGGCAACTAACATGATCGGGGGTTGGGAACAGGTCCCAGATGAAGAAAGGCTACAGAGACTGGGACTGTTCAGCTTAGAAAAGAGGAGACGGAGGGGGGACAGGATAGAGGTCTCTAAAAGCAGGGGTTGGGTGGAGAGGGTGCATTCAGAAAAGTTCTTCCTGAGTTCCCATAAAGAAGGACTAGAGGACAGCAAAGGAAAGGAATGGGTAGCAGGCTTGAAACTAGTAAGAGAAAGTTGTTCTTGACAAAGCAAATAGTTAACCCGCGGAACTCCTTGCTGCAGGAGGCTGTGAAGGCTACAACTAGAACAGAGTTTAAAGGGAAGTGAGATCAAGTCATGGAGGTTGGGTCCATGGAGTCCTATTAGCCAGAGGGTAGGAGTGGTGTCCCTGCCCAAAGTTTGTGGAAGGCTGGAGAGGGATGGCACGAGACAAATGGATTGGTCACTGTCTTCAGTCCATCCCCTCCGGGGTCCCTAGGGTTGGCCGCTGTTGGCAGACAGGCTACTGGGCTAGATGGACCTTTGGTCTGACCCAGGACGGCCATTGTAAGCTCAGGGCTCAGTGTCGGGGGTCTCAGTGGACCCCCTTGATTTTCATGCACACCTGCTCCTGGGTGGCCAGGCTGGCAGCTCTCCTGCCCTAGACGGCCACTTTCCTGTGCCTAGTGCGGAGATCGTGGACGAGGTCCACGATGTC